GGGATCATTATTATTATGATTTATCAGCAGCGTTCGTCTATTTTGTCTTTGCGAGTGACGACTGATTATCACAACTGGGCACATTGCAGTTTGGTATCGGAGCATTCACTTCCGACATTGTCTTCACGGCGCACGCGTTGTTCTGACGCGCTATGATTACGACGCGCCAGTCTCTCCAAGGTCGCGCGCGCCAGGTAAGTGATGGGATACTCTCTCTTTCGCGACATTATTGTCGCGCGTGTTTTTTAACACGCTGTCTAGACATTGAGCCCGACGACGTGCGCGACGGGCATGGTGATGACGGGCAGAATATCTGCCAATGATGATTGATTGCTGACATGGCACATCCACGTCCATTGAAGATTGGAGCAGGGAACTTCTACTCATGCGCTGATGATGTCTCGCCGACAATATAGAGTTGCCGCATTGCTATCTCGCCAGCCAGAGACGATTGGAGCCGATTAGTTGGCTCCTTGATTACTCGCTGGCAATGGCGAGATCCGGCGCTGACGTGGCAGACTTGATTGAACTTGGGATGCAGCGAGAAGATTTGTGAAGCGCAGCATTGTGGGAGTTCACCTTCACAAACGGATCTGGGTAACGGAAAGAAGTGGAGCGGCCAGCATTCCTCGGTGAAGCCACCCCCCCCCACGATCTTGATTGGTTCGACGTGCTGACTTGGCGAAAGCTGAGTTGGCATACCGGGGGTTGGCTGACGCAGGCACGACCTGCCAAAATGATTGATGCATTCCAACGCTGGGAGCGATATGAGCAATAGACTTTGACTTGTGGTGCTTACCTGCTGTTGGGGTGATTTGAGTGCATGCTGACGTGGCCTTGTGTGAGGGGAAGACTGACATTGATTGGTTGTGTTGTCAGTACTTACCTGTTGTCTGGCTGTGCATGTACTCATACCTGTTGGATGCTAACGACCTAGGCCTGCTCGATTACCTGGAAATAAAGACGTCACACGAATAAGAGAGAAAAACAAATCAGAACAGCATATCAATCAAGAAAATAATAAATTATTTTTATTTATTTATTTTCTTGTTGTACCGATATTGAGTTGCTGGCCAGTTATCAATAATATTGTCTGTTTTCTTTTATTGAGAAAGGATTGGCTTGTTAAGTTTCCTGTTGACGTTAACCATGGCACCGATTATTCAACACATGCGTCAGTCTCTGCTGACCAGATGGGTGCCTCATCTGTTCGGTCTTGGGCATGTGCCTTATGCGGCGGGAGCAGGTAGCTCTTCAATGGAACCACGTACACGAGCCCAGATCGAGGCACGAAGAGGTGAATTGGGAGAACTTCTGTCCCAACTGCTGGTGGACATGGAATTCGTTGTCCCGACCGCAAGAGAACACATCCGTGGTAAGTTTGACCTTGAAGTGATCTCTGATCGCTTGGCCAAAGCTACCACGAGTGTAGAGATGGTGGCGGCAGCAACAGAGATCCATAAAGTCATTGCCCAGTGTCGTGAAATACTGGACCAGTTCACCATCCAGCAGTTGGAAGAGATTGCCCAACGGAAAGATACCGTGCCAGAAGTAAAGATAGAAAGTATTGAAGAGAACATACAATAGTTGAAAGAGACACTCGCAAAAGAAGAAAGGAAGCGGGAAGAACTGTTGCAAAGAAAAGAACAGGAAACTAGGTTGCAGCAGGGAATGGGTAGAGTTCCGCAGCACATTTCCTTAGATGAAAAAGATGTTGCTCAGACGCTCGGACAAATATTGACGTATTTGGCTTTTCTTGAAGAAAAGTTAGACCAACAGCAATCTAGAATGGATGAATTCGCTGTTGGCCTTCATGTCATTACTAGCATTGTCAAGGGGAAAGCCCCTATGCTTGAAAATGATGAAGAGAAAAAAGATAAAGAAAGAAGAGCGGACGTCAAGCCCGAGAAGTTGCTTATTGGTGGAATGAAAAACAGCGACACAACGAAGAAGGAAACGATAAAAGAAACCGAGAAGAAACCGGAAAAGAAACCCAACGGGAATGGTGATGGAAACGGGAATGGAAACGGGAATGGAAACGGGAATGGAAACGGGAATGGTGGTCCCAACGGTCCCACTCTTCCCGTTTCCAAGGACAATGCCAAACCCGCAAATCCAAAGAAAAAAGAAAAGGTGAAGATGAAATTACCTTTCACTTTTTCTAATAAGAAAGAAGAAAGCCTTCCACTTTGGATCGCAGAGATCCAGACCTATGTTGGGACTGCACCGGTAGAAGAAGAGTCGCAAGTTGCGTTCACCACTTCTTGTATGGGTGGTGAAGTGAAGCGGTGGGTTCTGGCGGAGGCAAATGCCGCGGGGTTTGACAATATAGGTGAGTGGGCGAAGACGATGACCTTGAAGCAGTTCCTTGCAAAGGTCAAGGACCGCTTCTTGGACAAGACCACGGCCGATAAGGCCTTCGACCAACTCACCTCGATAGGACAGAAGTCCTGGTCTTCCGTTGAGTCATTGTCTCGTGAGGTGGACCGCCTGTTGCAGGTTCCTGGTCTTAACCTGCAGGACTCTCAGGTCCTTTATATCTACTCCCGCGCGTTGCCCGAACCGATACGAGGGCACTTGGTCGCCGAGGCCAAGTCAGGTAAGTATACCTACCACCAGTTCCGCGACCTTGCATTGCAGCGGGAACAAATGACTTCGCAAGTCAAAGGTTCCTATACTGCTGCCGTAAAGAATGGAGGAGGCGGTCGAGGAGGCTACGGCAAGCGGGTCATATGGCGGCAAAAGCGCCAAGACCAGACCCTCGTCGTATTCGACGACGATACAATGGAGAAATGGCCATTGGAGTCCGAGGGTGGTGGTGAGAGCAACGGTGACTCCTGAAAGGGGGAGATCACCGCTGCTACGGTCAACAAGGGAGGACCGTCATCGAACACTCGACCGAAGGGAAGACCACGCTCCTTCCCCTACCATCCTGTGATTGCGGCTGGCAGACCGTGGCTGAAGATGGGACTAACCCGAGAGGTGTAGCAAGATAGAATGGATAATGCGCACTGCCTAAAGTGTGGCACTGCGGGGCATGTCATTGCCTTTTATCCGTTGATTAGGAACTCAAAAGGGAGCAGCCAGTAGGAATAGCATCTGTTCCTACAGAGTCAGAGGGTGCGATCACATGCGAGGTGCCTACGATCCCTTTCCACACTCCGACTCCCGTGGCAGAGGATGGAAACCCTTCCACCCGTTGTTCAGACCACCCTATGCATGTCTTTGGACAACTCCCTTGACGAGCTGGGTAGCGAGCTAGTCGCGTTACGCAGTTCGTGGGCGAAGAAAGCCAAGTCTAAGGGTGAGTTGTTAATTGCT